ATGCTGTATTGATGATATATTGATGATAAATAGATGATGTATTGATGATGTATTGATGATATATTGATGATATGTTGATGCTTTATTGATGATATATTGATGATAAATAGATGATGTATTGATGCTGTATTGATGATATATTGATGATGTATTGATGCTGTATTGATGATATATTGATGATAAATTGATGATGTATTGATGATAAATTGATGATGTATTGATGATGTATTGATGATATATTGATGATAAATTGATGATGTATTGATGCTGTATTGATGATATATTGATGATAAATTGATGCTGTATTGATGATATATTGATGATATATTGATGCTGTATTGATGATATATTGATGATAAATTGATGATGTATTGATGCTGTATTGATGATATATTGATGATGTATTGATGCTGTATTGATGATATATTGATGTATTGATGCTGTATTGATGATGTATTGATGATGTATTGATATATTGATTCTGTATTGATGATGTATTGATGATATATTGATGTATTGATGCTGTATTGATGATATATTGATGATGTATTGATATATTGATTCTGTATTGATGATGTATTGATGATATATTGATGTACTAATGCTGTATTGACGATATATTGATGATATATTGATGTATTGATGATATGTTGATGATAAACTGATGATTTATTGATGCTGTATTGATGATATATCGATGTATTGATGCTGTATTGATGATATATTGATGATGTATTGATGATATATTGATGTATTGATGCTGTATTGATGATATAGTGATGATGTATTGATGATAAATTGATATATTGATGCTGTATTGATGATATATTGATGTATTGATGCTGTATTGATGATGTATTGATATATTGATTCTGTATTGATGATGTATTGATGATATATTGATGTATTGATATTGTATTGATGATATATTGATGTATTGATGCTGTATTGATGATATATTGATGATGTATTGATTATGTTGTGATGAATCTGACTGATCATTAAACATCGTGTCACAGGAAGTGAGGGTCTGAGCTTGTCACCTTGCTCTGAATGCAGCTGGTTGATGTGTGGACTTAATGTGTCATAGCTCAGATACTGTCAACTTCGGGAGGAGGAGGGCGGGGGGGGCTTTGATTCACAGCCAATTATAACACCCCCCTTCCCCCCCTCCACCCACTTGTCTGTTTCCTCCACAGTTTCACAGCTGGCCTGTAAAATGTGTTTATGCAGACAGTGAAGCATCATGGGAAGTTACAGCTCTCCACTGATCAACACTGATCTCCGTCTACAACATGTACTGATCAATAACCAATAAGTTGTTGATCAATAACCAATAACCAGCTGATCAGTAACCAATAACCAGCTGATCAGTCTCTTGTGTTTTCACCTGGTTAGTGTTGTAGTTCAGCTGTAACCTGATCTCTCTGTGACCACGTTTGGAAGCTAAATCTGACCGCCGTGGTGGCGGGGGAAGGGGGGGGGGCATGGTTGGGGGTGTTGAGGGGTTGATGAGGGTCTAACCTGCTGAATGAAGTGTATCAGGAGCAGCTGCTCTGAACCACCTGCCCCACAATGCATCAGTGTTTATACAGGGACAAGAATGGGGGGGGGGGGGGGGGGGGGGAGCCCCCCCCCCCCCCCCCCCCCCCCGCAGCAGCTGAGAACACCCCCCCCCCCCAGTTTAAATGTTCAGGAGTCACATGTGTCCTTTATTACTTCCTACCTCTCTTTTCTGCTCACTGCTTTCTGCTTTCCTTCACTCCTTCCTTCATACTTTTATTTACCTCCCTAGCCTCTTGTTTCCTTCCCTAGCTCTAAACAGCCTTAACTTCCAACTTCTCTTTAATTTCCCTTCCTACCTCGTTGTTTCCTTCACTGCTCCCTTCTTCCCTCTCCTACCTCGTTGTTTCCTTTCTTACTCCATTATTTTCATTAATTTCCTTCCTTCTTTCTTTTAAAACCTTCCTTAGCTCATTATATCCTTCACTGCCTCCTTTTTTTTGTTATTTTCCTATATCCTTGTTTGCCTTACAGCAACCTTATTTCCTTCCTTACCTCCTTGTTTGTCTTACTGCTACCTTTTTTCCTTACCTGCCTCATTTCCTTCACTGCTTCCTTCTTTTATTTCCTTCCCTAGCCCCTGGTTTTCTCTTACTACCTCCATCTTTCTTTAATCTAACTCATGTTTCCTTCCCTATCTCTTTGTTTCCTTCTTGAAGGTAATAAGTGAAGAGATGGGGGAGGAGATGAGAACGGAGGAGACAAGGAGATGAGGTGATAAGGAGATAAGGAGATGAGGCAGACTGTCACAGTTGACCAGACAGTTTTCTGTAAGTGATCAGTGATTGATCTGAAGTTATTGTCTTTGTCTCGCTGATGTTGGGATGGTTGTTTGGAGGGACACCAGCAGCTGCTGGGACTCAAACCAGTGACATGTCCTCCCATTCCTCCCATTCCTCCCATAGCTGTCATGTCAGAGGACAGAGGGAGGATCTGCATTGTTGTGGAGCAGCTGGACATTGTCTTCGTCTTTCCACCCTGCAGGGAGACGATAATCTGTCCAACAGCTATGTGCGCGCGCGCGTGTGTGTGTGTGTGTTTCTATCCTTGTGAAACCTGTCTGAGCTTCAGACAGAACTGAGGAACACAGCACACGACCTGCAGACAGAACTGAGGGACACAGCACACGACCTCCAGACAGAACTGAGGGACAAAATTTCGTTACCTTGGCTCACAGTGGACTGGACGCATAAATTATCTAATATACAAATAAAATATAAAATGCTGGTATGACTTAAAAAAAGTTAAAATTACAAGTGCATCACAGTACAGTGATAAAAGAATGAAGTGACCTAGTGATATTGCACTATCAGAGGTAGCAGCATGTTATAGTCCAGTGAGGATCTCATGGAGGGTGTGTGTGTGGGGGGGGTGGTTTATTTATTGTATGTGACTGCAGACAGAACTGGACAGTTCTCTCTGCAGCTCAGACAGGTCTCACAAGGATAGAAACTCACACACACACACACACACACACACACACACACACAGAGTCGTCTTGACCTTGCTGCCATCTGCTGCCCGCTGTCTCTCTGTCAGTTTCTTTTTGTTCATGTTTTTTATTTCTACAGATTTTTGTGCATACATTTGTTTATGAAATTTATAGACCGCAAAAAAATAGAAAATAAAATGAAATAAAACATAAGAAGACAACAAGATATATTTTCTGAGTGTGTTGAATACATCATATAAAGTCTGTGTCCTGATTCGTTCTCTCCGACACCTCTCACGTGTTTATTGTTTTTAGAATATTTATTTTTTCTAATTCTATTTTTGTTCATATTGTGTTTCACATCGTAGCATCATACACATATTCTATATTTCTATGAAATGTATTTAGCATTTTACATAGCAACTATATTAAATTAATTATGTTTTAATCAATGATATTTGAAGTTATTATTAAGAAATCAAACTTAATTAAAATTCAAATATGATTTTTTTAGTAGTTAAAGCATTTTATTGAGAGCATTGTCAGTTTGTGCAGATCATAAGTAAATATATATGAATAAAGAAATATTTGGTAACTACACAAATGCAATATAAAGATTATGAGTGCATTTACAAAACTGATACAGACACTGTGCATTATTAGAATATATAAAAATAAGAAAAAAGAAAATAAATAATAATATAATAATATTTAATATTTATTATTTAATAATATTTTTAATTTGCATCATATATTCAGATTTATTATATATTGTCTGTTATCTTATAATGCACATATCGAATCATTTTAAATATTCATATTTTAGTATTAAATATTGTAGAATGATGCACATATTTTATTACTTTTTATTTTCACAAACTCATTCATATAATTCTCTGAGCTTCACATCAGAGTGACTGTGATGTTTTACTGTTTCCTCTCAGGGGATCAATGAAGTTTTTCTGATTCAGATGTTGTCATAATTAAATATCTTCAAGATCTAAAGAGTTTTTGTTCTGAACATCAGATAATATGGTTCTATATTGTTGAAACTTATACTGGACACAGTTTGGTTTCTGATCATTTTTCCATATGATGATAGAATTTAAAATAATAATAATAATAATAATAATAATAATAATAGTAAGTATTAAACGCAGCGTGTCAGTGTCAATATCATCTTGACTAAAGTGTAACAAACATTTTTATTTCAACATTTATCTTCAGTTTGTTTTAAATAAAGTTTGTAACATCAGTTTCAAACTGTCTGTGAACAGACAGTGAAAAGTGATTTGTTTTTGCTTTTACTGACAGACGTCTTCCTCACATACAATGTGTCCAAGGAAATGTTAAAATCCAACAATAATATCTGTTTGTATGTTTCTGGAGACATATCAATTAAGGAATTTTGCCTATTTGTAAAGAAAATATGTTTTCCTTAAAATTTCTTTCTTTGAAACTTTAAAAATTATTTATTTATTTTAGTTTACAGTTTATGCTGATAAAAAATGGTGTAATTTGGCTGTTTTCTTTACCAATGTTTCCTTTAAATATATTTTCTTTAAAAATATAAATAATAATTGTAATAATATATTTTAAAATATATATATTTGAAAATGTACACTTTTTTTACACATACACTGTCTCTGATAAATGGTATAATTTAAGTGATTTTCTAAAATGTTTTCTTTAATTTAAATTTTTGAATACTTGTTTAAATCTACAGTCCCTGGCTATGATAAATGGTGTAATTTTGGAGGTAAAATAAAAAAATACAATCATTTAAATTTGTATGCCCCTCCCATTAGCCAAAATAAAAAATATAACTTTCTCCCCAGGGCTGAAAAATAATTTGACATGTCTCCCCCATCATAAATAACGAACAGTCCCTTATCTGAATATCTGTCATGTTATCTCCCGCAGCATCTCATTTAACAAGAAAGACAAAGGGACAAAAACTCATCAATATAATTAATTATGTTTATAATATTTTTGATACAGAAGTTTTACCACATTAATTAATGAATATATTGATATGAATACTTTATCTTCATTGATCACTTGTTCATCCTCACATTAAGGTGTGTGACGTCAGCACGCAGGACGTGTGTGTGGGGGGGTGTAAAGGGGGGGGATCGGGATTCCTAAGGATTACCCGTCATGCCCCGCGGGTAAAGATGGCGACAGCTGAGCAGGGCAGTAGATCAACTTTCTCCGAGCGGCACTGAGTGGATTTTCTTCCGTCGGTCGGAGCGTCTCAGCCGGCTGCTTCTCCTCCCTCCTCCCGCCGCCGCCGCCGCCGCCTCCCCGCTCCGGATCTCCTCCTCAGCCGGACCTCCTCGCTCCTCCCCGGCCTCGGATCGGTTCGGAGCCCCCCCTCCCTCCTCCTTCTCTCCTCGCCCCACCGGAGGAGCAGAGCGGAGCTCCGGCTAAAGTTTCCTCTCCTCTCCGCCCTCCGGGACTTGTTTGTGGAGGCAACCGGGACCGAGCGGCGCCGTCCGGCCTCACAGGTAAGCACCGGCCGGGTTAGCGGTAGTTCCGGAGGAGTGTGTGCAGGTGAACGGCTCCGGTGAGTCGGTGTGTTCGGTGTCGGTCGGTGGTGCCAGTTTGGGTGTTGTGCGGTGAACTGGGCCACAGTCAGACCCGCAGCAGGTCTCAGCGGGGTTATCTGGGTTCACGGCGGGCTGTTGGGGGTCGGGGGGTCGGGTCGGTGTACAGGGACGGTTCGGCCCGGTGTCAGGCGGACTGAGACCCGCTGTGTGTGTCGTGTTTGTCCCCCGTTAGCCTGTCAGACAGCGCTGAGGGCTGCGCTGCCCGCTGCCTGATGTTAACGGAGAACTGAATCATTCAGAGTGAGTGCGCGTGTCCGTGTGTGTGCGTGTTGTACTCAGACTCCTGCAGGACACACCTTCATCACATCACCTGCACTGCCTCAGCCAATCACAGGGCTCCATACTGAAGGAGCAGAGTTAGCCTACCGACTGCTCAGGGGCCCTGAGGGGCCATCGGGGCCCTCGGGTCCTCAAGAGCCATTAAACTTCTTCAGTCCCTCAGACCCTCAGGGGCCCACAGATCTATAGACCCATCAGGAGTCCTCATACCTTTAAGGGACCCCATATCTTTAGACTCTCAGACCCTCAGGAGCCTTTAGACCCACCAGAACCAGATGAAAGTGCTGACTAAGGTTCACCTGTGAGGGAAGGGTTAATATAAGGGTTAATGTAAGAGGAAAACATAAGGGTTAAAGTAAGGGTAAATATAAGAGTTAATATAAGGGTTAATGTAAGGGTAAATCGAAGGATTAATGTAAGGGGTAATGCAAGGGTTAAAGTAAAGGTTAATATAAGGGTTAATGTAAGGGTAAATATAAGGTTAAATAGAATGGTTAATGTAAGGGTTAAAGTAAGGGTAAATATAAGGGTGAATGTAAGGGTTAATGTAGGGGTTAAAGTAAGGGTAAATATAAGGGTGAATGTAAGGGTTAAACTAAGGGTAAATATAAGGGTTAAAGTAAGGGTTAAAGTAAGGGTAAATATGAGAGTGAATTTAAGGGTTAAAGTAAGGGTTAATGTAAGGGTAAATATAAGGTTAAATAGAATGGTTAATGTAAGGGGTAATGTAAGGGTTAAAGTAAAGGTTAATGTAAGGGTAAACGTAAGGCTAAATAGAATGGTTCATGTAAGGGTTAATGTAGGGATTAAAGTAAGGGTAAATATTAGGGTGAATGTAAGGGTTAAAGTAAGGGTAAATATAAGGGTGAAAGTAAGGGTGAATGTAAGGGTAAATATAAGGGTTAAAGTAAGGGTAAATATGAGGGTGAAAGTAAGGGTGAATGTAAGGGTTAAAGTAAGGGTAAATATAAGGGTTAAAGTAAGGGTAAATATGAGGCTGAATGTAAGGGTTAAAGTAAGGGTGAATTTCAGGGTTAAAGTAAGGGTAAATATGAGGGTGAATGTAAGGGTGAATTTAAGGGTTAATTGTCCCTTTTTAATAGCATCACTGTTATTATTGCTGTTGTTGATGCTGCTGTTGCCATGGAAACAGTCCCGGTGAACGTGTGTGTGTGTGTGTGTGTGTGTGTGTGTGTGTCAGAGACGCTCTCAGGTCAGATCAGAATCAATCAGCTGATTAATCGATGACTCATTAGGTGACATGTCAACGTGCTGCAGAAGAAGAGTCAGCTGGTTGTTGTGAATGTAAACAGGAAGTACATCATCAGTTTGATGAAAACGATCAGGTTAATCAATCAATGATCTATTAAGCAGGTGATCAGACGTGTGTTACATCTCGTCAGTCAACAGAGAAAATAATTGATTCCTCAATAATGTGATCTCAGGTGTTACCTGTCCCACAGGTGTTACCTGTCAGAGGTCAGAGGTCATGTTTACTTAAATGTCACTTTAAATGTCGTGTGTGTGTGTGTGTGTGTGTGTGTGTGTGTGTGTGTGTGTTGGCTGGTATTCATTCACAGAAACACAACCACAGTTTATCCACGTTTAATTTCACACTGTTAAACATTTACACTCATTATCTTCAGTCCAACTTCCTGTCTGCGTCTCTCTGCTGATTGGTTCCTGCTGAAGAGCTTTAAAAACACAGATCAATAGTTTCATCAAACAGTCAGCTAGGGACTATTTTCAGCGGCGGATTGATCCACAGTTGGTTCTGTAGTGAGTATTTATCAGTATCTGAGAACCACGCGTGTTAATGTTTTGGTTTCATTTCGACTGCTCGACTGTCGACATGACTCCGATAGAGCTGTACTGCACTGTTACTAGGTAACAGCCTGAGTCTGTGTTATCTTTGTGATGTCAGCAAACAGTGACAGGAAGTGAGGTCAGAGCCACTGCGAGGGAATCTGAGTCTGACTGATGGCGATGATGGTTCTTCGTCATGGTTAAAAATAACTTGTTTGATCTCGGCTGGACTGGACCCTGCTGGTCTGATTTCTGCTGGTCTGAACCCCGCTGATCTGGACCCTGCTGGTCTGGACTCTACTGATCTGGACCCTGCTGGTCTGGACTCTACTGATCTGGATCCTGCTGGTTTGGTTTCTGCTGGTCTGGTTTCTAGGGATGCACCGAATATTCAGTAACCGAATATATTCGGCCAAATATTGCAAAAAAACACACATTCGGTATTCGGTGGAATAAGTTAAAAGCAAGGCCAAATAATAGCGGCGTGTTTTGATAACGCAATCAAACAGCGTGCCGTGATGGGCGGAGTAAAATGTCGGCAGTGTGGCGATCCGTCCGTCACCGCACTCGCATTTGCGACTAAAAATAGTTTTGAGCGAGCAAAATAGGCTTAAATCATTCAGCACGCTGTGCGAGCAGCCTACAGATTTCAACCAGCAGCAGAAATGAAAGGCGAATCCCACCGATTGTGGGTTGAACGGGGGTCACAGACACAGACAGTAATGTATTCCTGTCAAATACG